ATACGGCTGCGCACAGCAGGTGCCTTTTGAGCAGCACCGGGCTCTTTGGTTATAAAAGTATTTCGACCGTATTGGATAATGCGCCGGCGGTCACGGTCAACCGTTGGGTGATCGGAGTGTGCGGTTTTTGGGGCCCACCTTTTCTAACCCGTCCTTCCTTGGGGGAAGGCAGCATCGCTGCTTCCATAAATATGGACATGCTGGTCGCCTGGGGGAAACACCTTACTGCCTTCACACTCCTGTCGCCGAGGACAGTACGACTTTACCCCCAGACCGCCTCGTAGCACGATTACTCGTAGTGCGGGGTCTCGCTGCTCTTGGTCTGGCTGCTCCCCTTTGGCCTCGCTGGCATAGTTTAACCTTGTTGAACGAAGTTCCAGCCAGTGTAGTCTGCGGGATCATTGTAGCACTCGAGCCCGACCACCACGTCAAGGTGGCAGCTTCAGGTCGGGATTCCAAATATGGGGGGGGGGGTAAGGGATTCTTTGTCAGATCTGTGTCCGTTGAAAAACCTGGCAGGAGAGACCCGATGCTGCACGAGCAACTTCCAGTACAGGTAAATGGGTTACTGAGGTACACAAACTGTCGCACCACGATAAGGTCCGATCTCTTCGTAAGGTAGGTGTACCCGAAGAGTGAAATGTGGAACATCTGTCTTCTTCCTAAGCAGCCTAATGTATACGACCGAAGTGGAGTCTTGAAGGCGTGCTTCAGAGACACAACGTACATCAACAGGAAAGAAAGCAAGGTTCCGGCAAGAGATGCGCGTTGTCACCATATGGATCGGATCCTTTAGGTTTAGTAAGGCAGTATTTTAGTTAATTTTACTGAATACGGAACAGCAGTTAGCCGAACGGCAGCAGTGTACCAACCGAAAAGTGAGACTGTGTGTATGTAAGGGGTTTCGCTGGTTCAGGCCACAATCTGAGTGCTGATTCTCTTGTCTTGAGGCCGTTTCCTTGAATCCAGCTTTTTAGAAGTTCAGCCGGCTTGTTTATGGAGAGGGACTTCTCCAGCCCTAGGATGCCTCTTAACGACGTTTGGCGTCCCGGGTGTGTACTGTGTCGCATCGCATTCTTGTCATGTATGTGCGTTTCGACTGAAGGTGGTTGGTCTTCGCACTCAGTGTGTGTGGTTTCTAAGTCGTCCATCCTCCGTGGTAGATAGCGTCGCTGATTCAGCAAATTTGGTGACGCTGATCTCCTCACCATACACGCGCTTCTGTCGACCATAACGACTCTACTCCCACATCTTGCCTCACAATTTATCATAGTGCGGGGACTCACTGGCTGTAGTGGTTATTTGCCGTTAGCCTTCTTTGCATGATCAAACTTTGAGGAATTACGCTCCTATCAATGGAGAATAACATTGAAGCTCCTTCACTACGAAGAGGTGGTCAGGATTATATCCGCAGAACTAGGACTTATGTGGCGTTCTTCGTGCTCTTGAAAATTCGTAATACAAACATTCAGAAGGATTGATCGTCGCAATTACAAAGGTGGCTCTCAAGTTTAGGTGCTTCTTCATCTCATATCTAGCCTTCGGGTTGGTATTTGGTTTTTAAATGTAATTGTTTTCTGTCACCTCCGAGTTCTGACTTCATTGCAGCTCTCATGATCAGCACTGTTCTCCTCATATGTTTGCTGACGACTGTTCAAGCAAGGAATGCTTCTTTGGATGTGGACAATGAGGGTAACATCTCCATAACGCAGGGTGAGAGTTTCGATTTTCGGGTTTTCAATGTGAGTTCACAAGTGAGTCCAACCTTTCCCACGGTGAACCAGCTTCTTAGGAGTTAGTTGTTCGCATTCACGTGGAATCAGAGGATGCATTCAAAGACTATCCGTTGCTTGTTGTTGTGAAACAAAGGAACGAAGTGACCTCTTTTCGAGTTCCTACCGTGGTCAACGAACTGTGAGTGTCAACCAGTGCTTCATTTCTTATAGGACACAGCTCTGTTTACCACAACGTCAGTCGAACCCTATGCCCCCTCAAACTAAGTTCTGATTTTTCGGTCAATTTCACGGTTGAGCTGTCTACGTTCTCCCTGAAGAATGTTAGCTTCAAATTCCGGGCTGAATCTGTGACCGATTTTGACCTTAGGTAAGCACAGTGTTCAATATGTCACTCATGTTGTTCAATTTCAGAAAAGATGATCCTTTGAATTTCCTGCTTCGCCCGGCACAACCGGTTTATTTTCGCTATCAGTTTACACATCCACTGGATTCTGTTGCCGTCAAGGTCGTCTCTCCTGACAACGTTTGTATGGTTCTCTCCCTCCAAACTATGCAGGTACTCTGTTTGTGAGTGTCAACTATACCCCGTATGCCTAGTGCCCAGTTAGTGATGGACTGGATACAGTGCAGAACGCGGGTCTTTATCAGACGGTAACCAATTTGGGCGTCATATCTGCCAATGTATGTTCCATGCGTACCTCCACGGTAATCCATCCTTTGGTAGGAGTTGCAATATCCCGATGGATTCTATGTCGTTCTAGTACTGAAAGCCACTGATTTTGCTTGCACAGGAATGGAAAGGCTTCTACCTATTCCCACAGGTGAGTCTTCGGATAGAATCCGTTCCCGAAAATTACCATTACTCAGCATTTCTAACGCGACACCAAATCAGAGCAGCTTCACTTCCACCCCACGTGTTCCAGGTTCATAATTCTCAGCTTATTTGCAGGTCTATCTGGTAGAACAACTGGTATCTCCAAAATGTCGATGACTTATATTAGAGCAAAAAGGAAACGACTTTCCGAGATTATTTCCCTTAGCATTTAGGCCATCTCGGATGGTGTTTCTTGACTCCCGAACCGACCTCTTTAAATAGTTTTAACATGAGCCACAAAGTTAGCAGCATGCGTACCGATTCATACTGTATCCCTGGAACCTGTGTTTTTTCTGTTGAACTTCGAACGCGTGTAGCATCTTGTCCCTTTCAACTTCACGTCATCAGCTTTTCGTTGGAGCCACCATCATCCCCATCCACAGCGCAACATTAGTATTCAACACACAATAAAAGTGTACGGGGAAGGAACTTAGTATCAGTCTACTACATTCGTCCAAGGTTTTTACGATTCCAGATACCAATTGAGCATTTTTGGATGGAAACTGACAACACGAATGCCATTGACATCGATTAGCAACCATATATTGCAGCGTTTACTACCGGGCGCGTTGGTATCATGCGGTTCCCATCCTGTAGGGCAAGCCACACCGAGGTCACCCAAACTTTTCGCAGTCGCTTTCATAACGATTCCAGATACCAATTGAGCATTTTTGGATGGAAACTGACAACACGAAATGCCATTGAATCGATTAGCAACCATATATTGCAGCGTTTACTACCGGGCGCGTTGGTATCATGCGGTTCCCATCCTGTAGGGCAAGCCACACCGAGGTCACCCAAACTTTTCGCAGTCGCTTTCATACCACTCTGTCAGATCCATCACCTCTGTGCTTCCGCAACTCTGAATTGGTCACGAAAAACAGCACCCACCTTGGCAATCGATAGTTCGACATGAGCAATACATGGCCTACCAACGCAGCCTCTGGTGCTGGACATTTTTTCGATGGAAATCCTCGATGCACAACCGAAAACTCATTTTCGAATGCTTTGTTACGGATCCGTCGACATCGGCCTACACCAGCTACGGTTCCGAGACAACGGTTGTCAAACTGTTGTGTCTTGATGGACGATCGTGCAACTTTGTATCGGTCCCTTGGCTTCCTGCTCCGCCCACTATGGTATATCGAAAGGCACGGTAGCTCTACACAACCCTTTATGGAGACAAAAAGAGAATCATTACATCTGTATGTATAGGGTAATCACAGTGTTCCACAAGGTCGTACTAGAATCACCGTGAGGGGGCGAGAAGCGTCGAGTCGAAGATGCTCCATTCGGATTGGCTAGGATTCTGACCAACCAGGGCATGCCTTCGTTTGGCCCGTGTCCTGTACGTGACACATCCGTCCAGATGATGTGGTGTTCGGTTATTGGGGATGGCTAGCCTCCGTACACAAACACCTGAAGACGTCTCAGTTCCGCTGCACCAAGGTACCACGTCTTACAGCCATGCAATTAAACAGCCCATATTGTAACCTAGTACACACTTCTCATGGTATTCAGGGATATGCCGCTATGACACCGAGGTGCCTCAAATTAATGAACCTGACATGAGCCTTGCAGGTTCGTGCATCGACTTTATCTTTCGTACTACAATCGGAACTAATGCAACTCCCAGGGTACGTAAAACGCTCTAGGACATCGAGTGCATCTCCCTGGATTAAAATACTTCGCGCTCGGCGCGCACGCCATGTTTTCTCCTCCTGGAAAAGTTGCTATTTATTAAATCTCCTCACAAGAGAATTTAAGTATTATGACAGTGGGATGACGGAATTTTCAAGCTTTCGTGTAACAAGAAGGACAAAAGAGCATAAGTAACGAGAAACAGACAATTGGGGCGTTTTTAAACAGTCAGTCGTAACTAGCAGACCTACGCCTTGCACATATACTCTCGACTTCTCTTGAGCGAGTCCATGTGTATCAAGTTCTTGAGCCATCATCATGTTCTCGTGGGCCACGGTGGTTAAATTATTCAAGACTAATTAAGGGGAGGGGGCGGATTATGGTACTCGCCAAGAATGCCAAGTACAGAATGGTGAGATATATGCTCTTTTTTGGGGACGCCTTCCTTTGGATTGTCCGCAAACATAGTCGGGCTGACTGGAGATCATGACGCCAACTCCATAGAGGAGTGGTCTCTCTTTGTAGGGTGGGGGTTGTCGAAGGTCACTTAACCAACAGTTGAGACCATATACACAGTTTACTGCTAAACTCTAATCTAGGTCCGGTGGTTTATTTTTGTGTGGATGAGCTGGACATTCGCGTGAGGTTGTCGAAGATTTTCAGGTCTATTCGTTATCCACCGCGTAGTCTAACGTGGACAACTCGACCCCCGTTTTGGTGATAACTGAGGGACGGCAGCATGGCGAGTTCAACCTTCAACCCTAATAACGAATTTCCACCAGGAATAGATATCTTACTGTGAAGCGTTCTACAAAGATCTTCGCAGAGCCTGATTTAGTTCTGAAGTTGGAGCCAGCTTCTTCGAACAAGGAGGTAGCGATGGACTTCACATATAAACCACAGAAAGGCATACAATGACGTCGAATTGCCGTAGGTGTTCCTCTATACATGGTACCTCGTTCTGTTTCAGCTACCGCATAAGTGGCGGTGTCGATTTCAGGTTTATGTATGCAGAGCACTGGGGAAGCTTGTCAAAGTCATATTCAGGTCATATTTCGATATTCTCTACATCGGGGCGAGATGGCCCATGTGGTTAGAGCGCAAATTTACTGCCCGGAAGGTCCGTGGTTCGAACCCGACCTCGACCTCTCGACTACCCCTGTCTAGGCTTGGGCACCCTGGCAGTATCCCAGCCCTCGTGCAACCTTCGGGTGGTATGGCAGTTAGGCACTGAAAGGGGGCGACAACTGAACGATTTCTTTCGATTCTCTACATCGTTAGTGTGGTGGGGTTTGGCACAAACATTTAAGCATGTCAAGCTGTTCCTTGAGTAATCGAGCTTTCTATGGTGGTGGTGTTAGTGCTGCAGGAGGTTGGTTGTGCCGCGTTAAATGAGTGAAGTACGAAACGGAGGCCTTCTGTCATGTGATTACATCCACTTGAGTCATGTCGTAGCTCATTGACTGCATAGCTTTCAACGCCTTCAGCTTATTAGGTGTTGGGTGCCGTCAACACTCGCCTTTACCACCGAACTGAGGACGGATGTTTTTCGACGCAACAGGATTGACTAAATCCGTGTGGCATTCCTATTCTATTCATCCTTTCTCTGATACATTCTGCATTATCTCCGTTTTAGGTGACTCATCCTATTCTCATCCAAATAATTTTAACTATGCTTATTTGTCCCTAATTGTAGCACACTTCCAACAGCATCGTGAGCCGAACCGTCAAAATAAGAATGTCACTTTGAAGATTTTACCCGCTCCAAGCCGTAAGTTTCACATGATATTTTATTGTCAAACTCTATCAAATCGATAGCGAACTCACAATTTTCTGATTAATAGTTGAGCAATCACCCTGGAGGTTCATGATATGCACTTAGTTGATGATTTCTAATAAGGATGAAACAGCTGTGCGGTACTATCCGTTTTGTGTCGCATAACCTGACTTGATTTACAGGACTAAATCTCGATAGCAACTTCCAAGTCCCCTCATACTACTAACCATGATGATATCTCTGAACCGAGGGCTTTACAGAAACCGGATCAAACGACCAGAGTCGCTAGTTCCTTTTACTGCTGTCCCCGACCCAGTGCCTCAGTACCCGAAAAACACTTTCCATCAAGGGTTCGAGGTGGCTTAGTAATTAAAGCGTAAATTTACTGAAAGTCTCTGGTCCGAATCCGACCTCTGCCTCTCGACTATCCCTGTCTAAGCATGGGCAACCTGGCAGTATCCCAGCCCTCTTGCTTCCTTCAGATGGCATGGCAGCTAGGTGCCGAAAGGGTGCTACAGCTGAACGACGAACAGGGACCACAACAACTTTATTGCGAACAAACGAGTGAAACAATTACACTATGTGAATTTCACCTTTCATCGATCCAAGCTGTTGCTGAATTGATTGACTGATTGATTGATCGATTGATTGATTGATTGATTGGTTAACTGGCCTGGACGTTTGCCAGCTTCCCCGTAGAGACTTTTGTGAAGTTTTATGGTCTTAGTAGGTTTCGGGCATTCTGGGGTTACCTTCAGGAATCTGACCCTCCTAACAGATACTTGTTCCTCCCACTGCCCGGAACATTACAGTTTGGACACTAAGTTACTGACGCGGCATACCCGTGACACTGCCCTTCTGAGACAACACATCTGCGGCACATTTCGTTTCGAGAATAAGTCCTTATAACAAGGCTGCCTGGGTGTCAGTCTACAAGGAAGCTTTCGGGTACACTGCAGGTTCGAAACCTCGATACGATTGACGTACATTAGGCTGAGATTTAAAGCGTCTTCATAGGTTGTCGTGAACCGCCTCTAAACGGACATGCGGGGAAAGAGAGGCTTGGTTTTAACATGTTCTGCGAGTAGCTCACATTGAACGGCTTTTTTACTGGGTATTAGGCTGTATGCTTGTGATTGTTCGATGCTGATTGCTCATTAGCTATTCGGGTCAACCGAACATTCGTAATAGACTGTGGTAATGCGGATGCTTTTGGCCAAAATGGCCAAGCTAATCAATCACCCAGTCCTCGCATGACCTTTTTTTTGCTTTTCGTGCCTACCCTGGTCGGTTCGATTTAAGCAGTCTGACAGGTTAAGCACGTGGTTGTGAGTTTTTACCATAGAGTTGTGGTACTAATAAGGCTAGTGATTGGGACACCTCCATTCGTGTTAACCAAGCAAGTTTTACCATGCTGATGAAGCTGCAAGATCAAAACGTCGGTTGATAAAAAAGCTACTGCTTTCAATTCCAGTAGGTGCTGCTCTGATACAGCTGAAAAGGAACTGTTTGAACATACGGCAGTGAAGCATCGGTGTTGAACACTGATGTCATGCTGTCGGTGATGATGATGATGACGACAGACGCCCGGAGGAATCTTTCCGGAGAAAAACTGTTTCTTTTGATGTATTCCCACCTCAGATACCGCCTGGTGTGCGTCTACTTCAAATACGGATATTCGCGGGAGGAACTATACACTTTTTTTCGAAAAAGTTTGGTGACAATCGGTAGATTTGTTGCTGGGCAACGTTTCGCTTTTGACACAAAAGCTCCGTCAGGCCAAGTGACTAGGTTCCGAGGTTGGTCGGGATTTAAGGCGGAAGGAGAACCAATCAGCTAAGTCAAGCTAAATGTCTGTTGGGTGTCGGCCGAGGGATTTTAGTGTGTTCGAGTGGTTGAACAAGTGTTGGGTCGGTAGGGAAACCTACATGTGTTTGGGTCCAGCCTAGGGTCTAGTTCTTCTGGTTCGGTTCATTTGATGGTCCCTCTTAAACTTCGTTTGAACCTTCTGTCAGTCTTTTTTCAGGCTGGTTTCTGTTGAGAGATTAATGCGTTGGCACTGTTGCTGAATGGCTTCAGTGGGTGAATTCAGCCACCCAATAACACTAAAGAGTACGTCCCGATTCTCTGTCGAAAGGGCGGTGGTTTAGAGCAGTCAGGGAGCTCATGAGATGAAATATTCACCTCATCCGTTTCAGGACGCTTTACATTTGATTCGTCTTTTCCCCTCGGGCCTGAATCTATTTCCCGTGGTCAAAGATTCATAGTTTAAACTGGGTTAACCGGAGAGAATCGATTCGGAAAACGACTGGTTTTTCGGTCGGTCTGTTCCAGCGGAGACCTTCCCCCTACGCGAGTGATCTGTATTGGAAGTTGTGTGATTTGGGATTTGGATCACAGGTTCCTTCTAAATTCTGATCCCCGGTACATTTGTTGTCATTTGCAAAATAACGACAGCTGTAGTCCAAGCACCACACTTTCCACGGTGTAGTTTTCGCAGCATTCTCTTAGCACACAGATTGTAACGATGCCCAGTCTAACTGTTGTCCACTTGATCCTCCCTCCCTATCTTAACAGGCTGGGATTACATTATCCCCATCTCCGGTGCATTTGGTTTCTTCGCCCTCTTCTATTTGGCTGGGATTATTATCATATGCACGTCTCGGTACCTCCCGTAAGTTTGTTGAAAACTGCGTCTCGCCGATAGCTCCGTTTCCTTTTTTCCCTTTAGTACCGTCTTGTTGCCGGCGATCACTAGATTTCACGCCGAAATGGTGTGTGTACTCTACGGTTGTGTACAGTGTGATATTTGGGTAGGAATGCATGTATCCTTTGGCACGTTTTTATTTCATTTCCCTATTATATTAACTCCTAATTCTGTACGTTTTCTCGTTCGATCTCAAGCCACCGGCACGAACGGTCTGTTGATTTAAGTAAGTGTTTTTTTTTCATAAGTAGCAAATAAAACTTGCTCCAAATTGTTACTAACTTTACGAGTTCTTCATTACAACAACGTGCCTCTACCGCCTAGTTCAACTAACTAATCATGTATTAGCCACTAGAATCGAGCGCTATTCCTTTGCTATGCTTTCCGATCGTGTGTTCTCTGCACGTGCATTTTGATTACTGCTTGTTCTTTGGTGCTGGTGGTCGTGGGGGGACTCTGCGCGTTCTGATTGCTAGGATAATCATTGTAGTCTGCCACTTATTGTAGCTCGCATAAACCAACTGTCATATTTCGTACACTTGCCTTCTGGTGCCTGAATGTGCTATGTCTTTACAAATGATGATCCTGGGTTCATCGAATCATCCCCGTTCTGCTGAATGAACTTGTGAAGCTGATCAGATGATTTTGAAGTCATCAGCTTGAGTCTTGCAACTTCTTCTGGAGGGTAGGCCTTTCAGGATGGAATTTCATCTTCATCAGAAGATGTAAGTTGCCAGACGCTAACGTTTCGAATTACGTAAAACATTCAAGTAATATTCGGGTAACACTGGATCAATTAGATTGGATGACACATTGATTTGCACGAGAGGGGGATTTGGGTAGTTTGCCTTCATCACACCTAGTTCACCAAACCAACTGTATCTCCCAGTAAAACACGGGACTACACAAAGAAATGCGCTTTGCATATGGGTACTTTGTTCGCGATTGATATCCTTGTGCTTATGCCATATTTATTTTAGCCGCCAGTCTATTCTTGATTCGTTTTTTTTTTGCGACGAATGTCCAGATTTTAGTATATATGCTGAGGAAGCTTTTTTGCTGAGGTCATGCGACTTCTTTCGTTGCTGCACCATCTACTGGTAATGGCTCTAGGTAGGTTGTAATGGGTCCGAGTGAGAGTAAGGAGAGCCGATCCATAAGCCCGGTCGATGAATGCGCTGACCAATCAGATTACACCGCTCGGACCGTGGCCCATTAGCCATACAGCCACATGGTGAACGTCACCAAATTCTTCCTAGACAGCGAAAATCAGTAGCAAACATGAACCGTCTACAAGTAGCTCAGAGGAGAACTAAGCTGGCACAGCAAAATTCCCATGTGAGTAGTCGTGTCCCCCTAAGAGCTAGTCCATGCGTGACCACTTAATGTGGAATCCGTGAGTAAAGGATGAGCGGTGCTACATCTTGCCCAAGTTCGAGTTAATCGCGTTGCTTATCAGCCAATCGTGGGCGGACGGTGGTTGTGGGTTCCCAACTCGTCCGGATTTCTTGAGGTTCGCACTGCTAATAATTCCCAGTAAGGATGAAACAGTGCTTCTGGGCTTTTCGGAATAGATTGGCTTCAATTACAGCACCAAACCTCCATTGAACAAACACTGGTGCCCAACGCCCCGGTAAAAAGTATGGCGAAAGCTGACAAGTGGGGATTTATTGCAAACTATTCACTGTCCCTTGGGAAAGAGGTCACGTGAACGGAAGATGCGAGTACCCTCGAAGAACACAGAAGGGAACACATCTGAGCATCTTTGAGCTCGAGATGATTCAGTAGTTAGAGGGCGAATTCACCTACTGGAAGGTCCGGGCTTCGAACCCGACCTTTGTATCTCGACTTCGGTCCAGGCTTGCGCAACGTGGCACTATCCCAGCCCTCGTGCTTCCTACAGGTGGCATGGCGGCTGGGCACTGAGAGGGTGTCACAGTTGAATGGTTATCTTATTTTTTATCTCTGCATAATCCTTTTTCTGCTAGCGACGTACTACTTGATGGTTTGTGGCTTAAACTTGAAAACGGATCGGTTTCTCTAAGCTTTCGTTTGAATGACCGCTCACGCTTTGCTTGAAATTAGTGGTTTACTGTGGATTCGTCAACATCCAGTGTTGTTGCTCCTTTGATAGATGTTCTCTGATTTCATGTGTACCTTTTGATTATTCTCCTGCAACCGATCACACTTGTCTTCCACCCTACCTGTTTCTACACCGTTTTACTACATCATATGCAGCTCCACAACACTTCGATTTATTAAGCGAAGAAGCTGAGGCTTTTTGTCAGCCCACCGATGTTGTACGGAATTATGGCACTGCTACACACATAACGACTACTCACCCATCGTTGCATACAGGTAACCGATATTCTTCGAGTACAGCGTTCTCATGTTTTTGTGTGTCTCGTTTTAGTGTGTGTGTGTGTGTGTGTGGTGTGTGTGTGTGTGTGTGTGTGATTCAACTGACCAATAACTTCTCTCTTCCAACCAGATTGTTGTTTCATCATTCGTCACACGTGTCCTCAAACTAAATACTGCATACCCGTCCTGTCTATTATCGCCCCTTAGGGTGTCGTACTGGGAACCATCTGGTTCTCTAACCTACAAACGCAACTTGTTTGGCGACTGGTCACATTCTTCCTGTTTCAGATTCTTCTCTGGTTGACATGCTGGATACAGAGGAATCCGAGTCTCGGTCGCTCAAGCCTCCAAAACCGCTGTGCACGCAACGTGCCCGTCGAGGCAATGATTCTCAAGGTGGTGATAGCCGCTCGAGGACCTCGACCACACAGCAACTACCGAGCACATCCCATCACGCCGATGTGTCGCTTTCTGTACCACGTGGTGAAAATTCTTTAGGAGGATCAACTGCTTCGCTAAATCATTCGAGAACCTTGATCATGGAACATACGCGTGAGCATCATGGGTGGTTCAGCTCTTCAGATGAAGAACAACCTGAGGGACACTTCGTCGGAGCCCAGGACACTCTTGATAAATACTCTCACCGCAGCCCACAAGTTCGGTCCTTTACTCCAGGGTCAGTCATTCAGCATGAGGTGTCCGAAACACGTCCGATTACGGAATTGCGTCGTCCAAATCACTCACCTGTTAGTACTGGTACAACTCAGACAAGTGCACCAGACAAGCAAGCCCCCTCTGAACGTGGAAGCCGTGAGGTGTTGACAAATGCTGAGCGAAACACAGATGATGTAACGATTTTGCTTTCCCAAAACGATATGTTCCGCATTGTTGTAAGTATCCCAAAATCCTTCTGGCGGTTTTTTTTCTATTCCGCATGATTTATGTTGAGCGAACATGAAAACGGACTATTTTGTTTCCCTTGTATTTGGGGAGGTGAAGTTCTCCGTCAACGTGTGAAGCAAAAGGCCACGCCTGAACCTGATCCTTGAAGTGGCACGCAAATGAATGAAATGTTACTGCAAGATTGAATTTGTAGGATGTGAGACTACTTTGACAATATCCACAACATGGTGTGTAGCTGTCCAATCGACCAAAAAGTAGATCAACTCGAATCGGTCGGTTGAACTGATCGGATCGAAATCATGTGTTTGAGCGTAATATGATAGTTCGGTTTCCAAACAAACTAATTGAGCGAAGAGGATGAAACTGATCACCAATTAGCCAGACATGATGTGTCATCTTCAAGACCTCGGTTAACTTCCTTACTGTGAGACACCTTGATTTCAGTTATACTACTGTAATTACCCCTTTGGATACACACATCAAAATGGATAAGTATTTGGCCTGGACTCGTCACATTCCTAGGATGTAACGTCCACAATTACATGGGTATCCTGTTCTTTTTCAAACTCAACTCTTGTAATTTCTATCCCAGAGTATCAGTGAACACTGACAGGGTGCTGAATACTGCAAGATCCGATGTCGATAAATGTCCAGACGTTGAATTACACATAGGTCCACCACTCCGTTCGAGCCGTTTCACGTCACCAGAGTCCAGCCGGAGTGCGAGGCATAACATGACTGCGGCGTTCATGCTGTTCTGTATTCTCGGCGAAGCATCCACCGATGTACAAATTTGACAACACTGCCCTGTTGCTCCTGGAATGCCCGGTCCCAGTAACAATGTGTCAAACGTGACTTGTCCAGCTGTCAACTTCACTACAGAGTAATCCTTGTTCAAGATCATGACTCGAATGTCCACATTTAAGATAGCAAGTTAAACGCGAAAGATAGTCACGTCAAAAAGAATGGAAAACTTCAAACCGTGTGAAGCTATTGATAGAGTTCAAAACTTAGGGGAATGTGTATCACTACACTTGGTCATAGAGAGCTCTAATCTCCTGAGGAATAGTAAAGTTTAGAGGAGTATTTCCATGACAATGAGCGTTGCCTGCTCTTGGTTACTAACAACGCCACAAGCAGCGTCGTAAACCTCGAGATCGTTTTTCACAGCAAGTTGCTAAAATTTGTAGTGGTTTACCAGCCAGCCGTACATATTTGACACGTTCAGCCGTATCAACCGGGCGTTTTAAGGTCATCTACAACCGCCTCGCGAAACTCAACTCTAATGTTGTTTATCGCATTTTCTTATCTGACTACCTGTAACTCACGTACCCTTTCCACTTCTCCACCAAAGCCCGTGTCTAATCTCTCCAGAAAACGATATACCACATTGAACAGAAAATATCTGCTTTACTTTTGGTAAGTATATTCATCTTCTATGTATTGTATTGTATTGCATTGTATTGTACTGTATTGTATTGCACTGTATTGTATTGTATTGTATTTTGTATGGACGGACAGCATTGTATCATTTATTGATCGGGCATTTTGCTGAGCAAATGTTTTGTCACGAGTCGAGGTGATACCATTGGGGCGTTCGACCATCAAGTGAACAACCTGAGTCGCCAGCGTTCTTTTACAAGTCACTTCATTTCTCGGTGGTTTGATTTTACCCACATCTTTGTGCTAACGTCTTTGTCTGTCAGAGTTTAGCTGATGAGCAGGATCTAACTGTTCGGAAGCCGGAACACCAGTCTCACCCATGATCCCAGTTGATGAATCCTCGCACCAATTGTGTCTCTCTGTTTGACCACTTGCCGCACAACCCCACCAGTTTATTCAGAGAGTTATTAAGTAGGCAAATGACCACTTGGAAAAGTGGTCCATCCAATGGTCGAACTCCAACTAAGTGATCATATCCCTTTCGATTTTCATGGAGCTTGACGACACCCCTTGTTGACTGTTTTGTGCAGTATTGTAACTGTCGATAGTGGCATTACTAGAACTTTGAAGAGAGTGGCCCGGGAACGCGATAAGTCGCCACTATCTGCTGTACGATTGATTCTTTTGCTGATTTCTGTACTGTTTAACTGTTTCGCTCCAAAAACAAAACAGAGCAAAGATATCGTCTACATGCTGTTTCACAATATTTCTATAAGCACGAGGACCGGTAACTCAACGAGAGTTTGAATAAACCTGCCGACCAAGTCTGTTGTATAATTCTGTTTGTCTTTCCTTCATTTTCCTAACTCCCTCACCTTCCTTATCCACCCAGGTACTTGATCATTATCTCCATATTTTACGGGTTGCCGGCCATTCAGCTTATTATGATCTACCAAAAAGTAAGCCAGTTTTTTCCCGTGCTCGTAAATTTTGTTGAACTGATCTTGTGTTGGTTTCGATTATCCTGTCGGCTACCAATTGTTAGTTAGTCGACTTTGGTTGTGCTAGTTTGTTTGTAAACACTATTCTACCCAAGTGGTTAGAGCGCGAACTTACTGACCGGAAGGTCCGTGGTTCGAGCCCGACCTCTGCCTCTCGACTTCTCCTGTCTAGGTTTGGGCAACCTGACAGTATCCCAGCCCTCGTGCAACCTTTGGGTAGCATGGCAGTTAGGCACCGAAAGGGCGCTACAGCTGAATGATTACTCTTCTACCCCGGAAAAAGCACTGACCCATATGTAACGCAGCTTTAGCCACCTATCCAAGTGACTTTCAAGCCATCCGTGTCATTCTAAATTGTTTCTCGCTTTCAATGACGGCATTTCGTGGATTCTTTGCAGACTTTGGTTGAGACTGGAAACGAAGATTTGTGTTACTACAACTTTGAATGCGCACGGCCACTGGGCATCTTCACAGCGTTCAACAACATCATTTCGAACATTGGTTATATCATGCTCGGTCTGCTGTTTCTCACGGCTACAGCGCGAAGGTATGTCGATTGCAGTTCATGTTTGTTTCCACCGTTCGGTTGGTTCTAATCTCTTCTCATTGCTTTAACGTTTCTTTCTCGGCATCGATTATGCTCATGTTTCATACCCGCACCATCTTCGGTGAAGCAGGCAAGCAAAAAAACAGATAAAATAGCAATATAGAGACCAACAGCCACACAAGCGAGCAAGTCAACAAATAAATCATACACCGGTAGTCTTTCTACGTGTTGACGAACTTGACAGCTGTACAGTGTGTTATGTCACTGGCAAACGATTTGATGATACAGTGCTTCCCATCTTTTGAGGCCGGCTGAAGGAACTCACAAAAATGAGAGGTGGTCTCCGTTCAAAGATGAACTATAAAATGGTGTGAACAACCGGGAGAACGCTCGCAGATGCACATTGTGTGGAGTTCGTTTGTAGTGAATATGAAGGGATTTAGCGAAATACAGTCATCTGCAAACATAAGGTTGACGTAAACTCGGGGACTGCGCGTACCTGATGAGCCCCGGGAAGAATGAAACCAGTCGTGGACTTATGAGTAGTGCATTACGAACATGAAGGAATTCCGATTGCATCTGATTTGTGAGATCAACGAGTCCCAGGTCTCCCTTACATGGAGATGATCGCAGTTTGTCCACCTTGGATTTAGTAAAAACCAGGCCTTGTGGATAACTTTGCAAAAGCACAGACTGTAGTAATCGGCCATGATGGGGGCAGCGTATCGGTGTAAAGCTGCGGAACAAATAGGTTAGTGTTAGCGATAACAAAATGATTCTCACCTTGGGGACCATACAATTCCCCGATAAGTATTGTTGTGGTCAGGAGGAATAAGTCATCGAGTGTATTTTGTGGCTACGTTGTCATCATTACTCAAGTCCACACATGACCTTGTAGTTGATTGACAGAGTGCAACTGGGCATTGTTCACTACACAGTATGTACGCCTGGACGGTGCTATCCACTTATGAGTACTAACAGTCACCGTAGGTGACTGGGAGACTTATCTGGAACCCAGCTGAACCTCTCGTTTATGATGTTTTTGAGCAACTGAATGTGCTGCACCAGGCCGTCCCATGTTTTCTTTGGTACGATATTCGAGATATCGCGATACATGTATGGACATAACACACTACTCATAGGGTTGCTTACAAGCATCATAAAGAGAGATTCAGCTGAGTTCCAGGTGAGTCTTGCAAAACCAGATTTTCCTGCAACTGAGTGTATTTCGCTAATGTCGTGCAATTTGGGTTCAAGTAGAACGTTGGTTTGACGAGAAGGACGAAACCGGTTGTGGGCTGTCGAAGAGTTTTCAGCAACCTTGTGAGTAGTGTATTAAGTCACTGTAGGTGTTTACCATCCGTCGGGGTACTTCTAATAGCTCATTTGAACTGAGTCTAACCCTGTTCAGACATTACCATATGTAAGCCCCTTGCCCTAAGTGTGAAGTTTCTGGGGAATCCGAGAAGAATAACACTTCGTAATGCACTACTCAAAAGGCTTCTAAGAATTAGTCAACAGCCCAGCAACCTTACGAGTAGTGCATTACGAATATACATGTATCGCGATATCTCGAATATCGTACCAAAGAAAACATGGGACGGCCTGGTGCAGCACATTCAGTTGCCTGGAAACATCACAAAAGAGGGATTCAGCTGGGTTCCAGGTGAGTCCCTCGAAAAACCAAATCAGCCTGCAAATGAGTGTTTTTCGCAAGGAGAACACTTGTTGCGGTGTATTGTAAACTAAAAGTGGGGTCTCATAAAGGGGGAAGAGCCTTTTTCGACTTGTGATAGACTTTGAGCTGTTCCAATAACCGTCATATTCACATTACCCGGTTCCGAATATTCCGGGTGAACTCATGCGTGTTCCTAAACAGGGCTGTTTCTCACTCACTTTTCTCCGTATTTTGCGCTTTTTTCTTCGTTGTGTAGAGAAAGTAGGGACATCGCACAACAGACCACAGATTTCAAACTTAGTACTGAACAGATGCATGTCATGTGCACTCCACTGATTTGAATGAATATGACTACTTTCACCATGCTGTGTTCGGATGCATAGTTCTGTGTAGTTGTAGGGTGATGATCGATATTTTCCGCTTGTGACTGTCACAAGCGCCTCTAGATTAGAACTCTCGTGGAGTGAGTCACACTATCGGTGAGGAACGGCGGTCTCTTTTGTCCACGACTTTCATAGAATGAACAGGACCTCCAGATGCATCAGTCTGCTCGTCTCTAGCTTGGATACTGCCTGAATTTCTTTGCTCTCGAACTGGTTCATGGTTCTTCCGGAGCATCCGGACTTGGTTACTTTTAGCTGCATTTTTTCGACACAGTAATTGTCTCAGTACTAATTAAGGACTGCTCGAATATTGTACTTGGGAGTTACGTGTAATCATCGCTCATCGAGTCGATTTGAACCCCATCCCGTACATTCATTCGTCGTGAGTTATCGACCCCCACAGCACCCTGTCTCTAGGTGGCCTTCATTCCAACACCTGAATGTTCCTCATATCACCAAAAGATAGGTGAGAGACTGGAGACTGCTCTGGCCCATTAGCCATAGTCTCAAACAACTTTGTTGGGCAAATACGTGTTTTTTTTGGATTGATCGTAAAACCTCCCTTTTATCCATGAGTTTTGTCACATTTGTGTTTAATCGAAGATACAACTTGCGAATCGTGTTTCTGAAACCGTTTTTGTCCGTTATTTAGGGACCTTATCCACCGGCGACGTCGGAAGCTTGATCCAGAAGTAACTGAAGTGAGTTATCACTGTAATGGTATTTGACAAAAAAACGGTACTGCCATTCTCGAGAAATACACTAATTTGCAAATCAATTTGGTTCTCACGAGAGACTCAGTTGAATCTCTCGTTTATGATACTCTACAACTGAATGTGCTGCACATAAGGTTGACGGAAACTCGGGGACTGAGCCCACCTGATGAGCCCCAAGACGGGCGAAACCGGTCGTGGGCTGTCGTAGAGTTTTCAGCAACCTTGTGAGTAGTTTCCTCTGTGAAAATATGCTGTGATATCTCGAATATCGTGCCAAGTGAATCATGAGGCGCCCTGTGTGCAGCACATGCAGTTGTAGAATATCATTGACAGCAACACCGGTGTGTGTGTGTGTGTGTCTGTGGCTTCAGTATAACCAGGTCAGTTTATTGAAATAAACTCCTACAATGAGAACAAAATCGGGATGGAAAAGGGACTCAAACGCCCGGGATCCGTACTCAAAGACGTCGAAACTGAAGTCAAGTACATCGTTGGCAACGATTAGTAGCTATATATTTCACTGTCTTTGTCCAGGAGTGATGTGGTCTCCATCCTGGAAGGTAAACAGCACGACTGCACCCAGACACGGGATATTCCCTCCGCTTTCCTGTTCTACCGATTCATACTTTAACCTTCCATTGTTTCCCCCCGCCCAACTTGTGGATTACCGGATGTTTCAGACCAATTATCCAATTAACTTCTTTTTTTCTCAATTTTATTGTTTACTATGCCTTGACAACAACATGATTCACTGACAGTTAAACTCCTCTCTGTTCAAACCTTTGTCGCCATACAATTCTCATTGCATGTCATCGTTTTAACGAACTTCCAGACCCGAGGACTCCCGCAGCACTACGGACTATATTATGCCATGGGATTGGCGTTGACGATGGAAGGCATAATGAGTGCCTGTTACCATATGTGTCCAAGTTTTTCAAATTTTCAGTTTGGTGAGTTAGGTGAAAAGCATTTTGTTTGTTGCCTGAATAATTAGCAATTTGTTTAAAACATTACGAATTACAGTATCATGCAGGCACTTATATGTACGATCTGTTGAAGTACTTGAGCGGAATATTAACCTAATAAGCCGTTTAAAAGAACCATAATGTCCTGGTGGATTTCAACTGTAAATCGGTCTTCAGTCAATTGGAAAAAGTTTGGAACCGATTGAGTAGTCATCGTAACATTCACTCGCCCACGAAGATCAAGGATCTACCAGTGGCACCCGAGGTGAATCATCAAGTGAAGCAGCCTGAAAAGATTAAGGAAAGAAAAGCGATAGGAACTGATTTGAAACTCCTCCAATCCACCAATTCAAGATTATGGCACCCACATTAGCCGACAAGAGCTGTTAATTGACACTCAACACTGATCTAGTGTGAAGAGAATTTACCGATTGGTTCCCCGTCTGTCTTATAACCTGGCCAGTATGGTGACCTGTTCACTTGGCCTGATGAAGCTTTTGTGTCAAAAGCGAAACGTTGTCCAAATGAAAACTACCGATTGTTTACCAAGCTCTTCTGAAACGATACATCGGTTTGTCTTTAACCGCACACTAAAACGCAAGATTGCACACATTGTAGGTGGGTTCCAATTAATGTGAGAACTGTCGTATGCCATGTTAAATTAGGTCAGTGAACTGTTTTCTTTTTGCATGTCCTTCTACGGACTCAAAAGATTCTTTGTTACCCTTTGTTCGTGTGGCTGCTGGAATTACGGTTTGGCCTTCCAGTTGAAACTCTATGATTTAAGGAACATCTTGTTCGATTGAGAGTGTGGTTGTCCGCCCTACACCGTAGGCTTCAGTTTGCATTCTGAACGGATTTAGGTTTATCAGTATGGTTTAACAAGCAAGTTGATAACACCAGTTGGTGGTTCTCGCCTATAGCTAAATAACCGCGAAAGAACGTGTAAAATAATATAAATCTTGGTTGCAAACGTTTCATCACCAATCGAAGTGACGTCATCAGTGCGTAGTTGTGCGTAGCGGTGGGTTAGTTAGACAACCACCAACCCACCGCTACGCACTGATGATGTCACCTCGATTGGTGATGAAACGTTTGCAACCAAATTGCCCAGCTCAGCGAACAAGCCAACGACCATCTACGCTACCTGAGCTACCGACATTCTCCTCTATATCACACTCACAATATATTTGCTCAAACCTGTTAAGCTGCCATGCCAGTGGGAGAAGGCCCCAGGGCTGGGATACTGCCAGGTTTCCCAAGCCCAGACAGGGTTAGATTCGAACCACGGACCTTCCGGCCCGTAAGCTGGCGCTTTAACCACTGAGCTATCTCCAGCTTGTTACCTGTGGCATATCATGTCACCGTCGAACCAGCCGATGGGTTTCAACATCAGCAAATCTGTTTCTACCATAGGTGCAAGTTTTTCAAGAAGAATAAGTAACAGTGTAGTAGACACTTTTGAGAATATTTGGATATCCCGAATTACTGAAGGACTGCTCCTTCAGCCCGCTATGGTAGCCACCTTCACAACACGGCCCTATACCGACCCCACTACTATGCAAGCATTTTATTCTGCAACAGTCTTCCAATTTATTGCAGCTGTTGATTAGTTTCCTGACTATGATGAATAAACGACAAGCTGCTATGAAGCTTAATCAAATCGGGAAACATACATTCATCAGTGTATCAATTATCGTTTACACTTTCTGTCTGGGAGTTCCTCACTCGAGAAGCCCGTCAACACGTAACCACGTGATGTGGTTTTCATGCCTGAAGGATAGATGGTGCTATGTCCATCCACGTAGGAGTTAATCACACTTATGATTAACCGTTCGTGCCCGAACGCTCGAATGTTCAATTTCCGGTCGGGAGGTCGCTTGTTCCAGGTCCCCCTGAGTTTTGTGCGATGCCGACTGCTGATAATTCCCTATAGGGATGAAGCAGCATTTCAACATAGCTTTCTTCGCACTACTCATATGGATGTGTAGCATTTCAGTGTGCTCACTGACGGAACACACGAGTGACCTAATAACTTGCTTCTTTAGCGTCAGAGCTTTGTGCTTTGTGTATGCTTAATAAACCTGTGACTGAGACTGAAGCATGAGAGTCCGCGTTCGCTTACCATAGACTCGTGTCATGTCAGACTAGCGGACTCTTAACATCGGTAATTGAGGTTACATAACCGATCAGATCGGTCAGGTCTGTCACCCAATTTTTCAGTACAGCGCTTCGAATTTGATGAACCGAAATTCCATAGAATGAAGGCTTTTAAAGCTCTCTTGTCTGTCCATGGTAGATGGCTTGAGCGAGCAGTTTCTGAGCAGGTTTCTCAGTGCATGCACTAAAACTGTGCGGATACCAGGCCCTATATGCGCCAGTTTCGCAAGCTACTGTAGGGGGGCGAGATGGCTCGGTGGTTAGAGCGCGATTTTACCGACCGCAGGGTTCGTGGTTCGAACCCGATCTTTGCCTCTCGACTTCCCCTGTCTAGGCTTGGGCATCCTGGCAGTATTCCAGCCCTCGAGCTTCCTTCGAGTTGCATGGCATCTAGGCACCGAAAGGGTGTTACAACTGAACGATTATCTTTGATTTATTAAGCTAATTTAGAATCAATCACACAGTCTACCCCAAAGTTGTTGACTGACATAGTAAGCCATTTTTATCACCATTTGTCTGCAGTTTATTTGTGACATGAATGGTAGTACAATAATTCTCACAAAGAATATTGGCGGATTAAAAAGGAGTTGCGATGGGACCCGTCTTTTGGGTGATCAGATTGTGACCGACAAGGAGTGCTGAGCGTGATCTCATCTTACAAGAGTTGCTTTAAAAATGTGTTCTCATTAGGTCCGTTCTGCGACGGAATAACAACGGTTTGTTGCCACGAAATGGTCATCTTCTTCATGACAAATGAAGTAGAAAGAAAACTTGCAAGGTCAATCCTTCATGAACATTCTTTTCCTTATTATAATTACAGTTTCCGTCTCCCTTGTAGCCAAATCACCCTTAAGAAGGAACCCCGTTCAACCCGCCTTGAGAGGTGTATTTTGATACTATACTCGTTCCCAGGAGGAACGGATTCCGGTCAGTTTCAGTCAGCAGAAGAACTGTGCTCCTAACGGGTCAAGTGACATAAGGAATGACGAATTTTGTTTGTGAGGAAGTAAATATTTTGCTGTCCTCAGTTTGGCGGTAATATTCATCATCTAACATCGCATGTCCGTTTGGGCGATTAGCCCGCGGAGTTTAGACCCTGATATGACAATGTGAGATTACTGGAGTCCCAGGCATACCGAGTTTTGTTGAATCGTCGTGCCTTCCTGGGTCATACAATTTTTTTCGCTCGTGGCTGGAAACTCTACAAGACGTGGCAAGTATGGGGTCCCATTTCCCAGCCGGACCGATTAGTCCAAATTACATCGAGCTGATGTTGATTGAGACCCACTGAATATGCTGTGTCAATCACGTTGATGGTCTTTCACTGAAGCACAACACTCAGTCGGTTCCGTCTCGTTACCGTTCTTGTGTTCATCATCCACTCGCCCAATTCCCTACTATTCCTCTTCCCAGTCTTCACCAGACGGTTGTTTCCTCATGTCTGTATGCCAGCTAGTCGCCAGTTTTGTCTATCTATCGACGGTAATGTGATGGTTGTGACTCCAACTCAAGCAGACTGTCAGGAAACGCAGTTTCACTGTTTTGAGAGTGGAACGACATGGGTTTGGTTTGTTGCGGAATAAAGTCTTCAGGCCACTCTGTTCGACTTAGGGTTTTGAGAGACTCTTGACTGATTAATGTTCAATATTTAATGTTTTTTCCAGTACAATTCATTGGTTTAATTTTCCTCTCTTGGTGAAAGTGAAATTCAATAGAGATTTGCCGAATCCAGTAAACCTCTACTGGATTTCACTTTCACCAAGAGAGGAAAATTAAACCGACGAATTGTACTAGAGAGCGAATTTACTGACCCGAAGGTCCGTGGTTCGAACCCGACCGCTGTCTCTCGACTTCCCCTGCCTAGGGCAACCTGACAGTATCCCAGCCCTCGTGCTTCCTTCGGGTGGCATGGTAGCTAGGCACCGAAAGGGTGCTACAGCTGAGCGGTTTGCCGAATCCAGTATGAATGTAGTGTAAAGTGCTACTGATGTGTTGACGCAACTTGTAAAGGGGGGCTACCTTTAACTGGACGGATTTGGGCTCAGGTATTCCTTGGGGCGGAAGTTCCAAAGAGCATCGGCAAAGATACGCCGAATTCAGACAGTTGTCTCGATTTTTTTGTTTAGGGGGCTAAGCGCGAAATCGGTCTACTGACATGGTGTCAAACTCTGATTGCGGTGTGACATCCTGAGCCAAGAAAATGATTAATAGCCATGTGGATGAGGTTGCCCGAACAGCCCGTACGATACTGAAACGTAAGTGCATAGAAATACCTGCTAGGAGTGGAATCGTGAGAACATTTGATAGTTCCTTCTCACAGCGCTCTTTCCACAGATCGATCAACTGTGGTGGTTTTGTTTGTCGCAGAGCTCACAACTGCAAAACTCGTATTGAGGGAAGGGGTTGGTTGGAAACAAGGCGTAGGCAGTACTGGTGAACTCCAGAGTGCCCAAACGGTTAAATTCTTCGATTCATGGAACATAATATCAACATGTGATATGATAGATGGTGGTCAGAAAACCAACCAGAGCATGCCCGATCTTCTTCGGTGTAAGGATAGGACAATAAACGGTGACCTCGAGATAGGTCAGTAGTTAAGTCGCGGACTTACTAACTGAAAGTTCCGTGGTACAAACTCAACCCCAGGCAGCTCGACTACTTCTGGCTGAGCATAGGCAGTCTGGCGTTACCTCAGCCTCGTGTTTCAAGGGTGGTGTACCAGACCGAACGGGTGATGAACCTGGAATTTTTTTTCTAATGGACATGAATGTCACATAAATATTCCTTCCAAGCGCTTCTGCTGCTCAGTGACCATGGAAGCTGACCACTTTCTGAAAAATTCTGCTAAATCAAATGGTACTCCCGAGCGTCTCAAAATTTTCGGCTGGTTGCTGTCCCGTAATCTGACAGAAGCGATAAGCGAGGGTTCATTTAAACGTGCTACTGACATTGTTTGTGATGACAGCTCTTTTTGGAGGATCGCATACAGCGTTTCATCGTCTATCCACCTTTTGCATGGTTCAGATTACTTGACCGACTCTTTCTCTCTCGCCTGGTCGCTTTTATTCTTTAGGGAGAGCTACTTTGGCTAGCTATTTATTGGTTTCAACTCTCCAAAAAGCCTTCAGCAACGTCATGTATAATATGTATTTCACAATTCCCACTTGTTTCTTAAATTATCGCCTTCACAGACACAGCTTACATGTATATACTGGCGATGCTGATCATTCTGAAAATTTATCAAACGCGACACCCGGACGTCAATGCTTCTGCCCACTCCGCCTATATGGTGATGGCCGTAGTCATCTTTCTGGGCGTGACAGGAGTGGTATGTGTCTATTGTTTCCGTTACAACAAAACATCAGTTTGTGTCGATGTGTATGCTCCCATTGACTAGCTTAACTGTTTCACTAAGACAATGTACGTTCCAGAGAGAACCTTATCGCCTTCTCCTAAGTGCCATAGGATCCTTTAGTTCAGTTGGTTTATTCAGGGCTAGATATGGGCTCCATCGCCGTCTATCTTTGTGCTTTTGGAAAAGACGTTGTGGGGAACTACACGAGCATAGTCCAGGCTAACTTGTTATGCTTTCAAGTTTGACTGAAATCCAACTGGTTTCGCCCAGTTCGGGGTTCATCGAGTAGATGATACCACGCTGATTTCAGTCAATCCTTCCGGTTGGATTTCCAGAGGAAGCTTTAATCTTCATCTCCTCAAGGGTACCACTCCTCATCAGCCATGCCCCATTGAGTGGTCATCCAGAAGAGAGGCAACACCGTTCAAGTAGGGACCAGACGATCCACTCCAATAGAGTGCTTCCTCGTGTACTTAATTACTGTGTCGCGCTCAACTGAACACCTGAACTTCCTTTGTATTGCACATTGTGTTGAAGAACTTCACTTCGGTACTCTTGTGTTAATTACTCAGCAAATCAAGCTAAGTATTTCTGGATCAATTAGATTTCGATCATGCAGAATATTCATTCGTGCTTTCTATGTGATCCGTCCTCATTCTTTCAGTCAGTTCTTGAATGTGTAACTGGGAGCTAATTATCGCATAAAGCGAGTATTGATTAACGGTGTTCGGCCGCTACGCAGATTTCCAGCATATTGGGTCTTTTTTTACTAACTTTTTTCTCCAAAACCCATCTGCACGGTCGTATTAGGGCTTACCCTTCTCTTTCGCTCACTCAACAATTCGTCTGAAAACACTGTCGATCGTCTTGTCGTTTACTAATCTCAGGAGAACTTCTGCGTAAAAATGTTTAGCTGAGTTTTCCTGATGGAAAACTTTACGGCGGCTCACCCTTGGGCAGGGCGTAGCTCCTTGAGTTCCCGTCAAACTTATGTTCTGCCAGTTGCCCTCTACCTGACTCCCAATCGATTTGACAATCGGGGATGAAGTACACGCACTAAGTTGCCATTTTCAGTCACTATGTTTCCTAGTTTACCGGCTTTTATCACTTTATGAATGAATCCATAGCACTGGTGCGGCGGCGGCGCTTCGTTTCACTGAACACGTGACCTGTAGCAGCTGTTTACAGTCTACACAGTCGGTGACCTAGTCACGTGTATGACCGCGTCGTCCGACTCTAACGCTACACTTGTTTGTGGTTGGTGAACTGGTTGTTATTGTTGTCGAGCTTTTTACTCTTGTTTACCCCATGTCATGCTTGTTATTGCCAATTACGAAATGCTCCTTTGTGTTTGCGGAACATACACATTTACAGACTGAAACCGTCAAACCCGTCGCTCATAATACTCTTCAACTGAGAATGTACTGTGCAAAAGAAGCGCCATGTTTCGTTTGATATAATATGCGGAGCATTTTCCTGAAGAGCATACTACTTATAAGGTTTCTGAAAGCTCCTTGACAGCCAATCCCCAATTTCGCCCTCATCGTGACTCATCCAGTAGGCATAGTTTCTGAGTTTTTGTTAACCGGATCGTGCAAAATTCGGGAAACGCACTCATTTTAGATTATTTTGAATCTCTACTTTACAATATTCTTCAGCAGATTATTGGGGCGAGATGGGCCAAGTGGTTAGAGCCGCGTATTTCTGACCGAAAAGGTCCGGGTTCGAACCTTACCTCTGTCTCTCGACTTCCCCTGCCTAGGCTTGAGCAACCTGGTAGTATCCCAGCCCTCGTGCTTCCTTTGGGTGCCATGGCAGCTAGGCACCGAAAGGATGCTGCAGCTGACAGCTGATTATTCCGTTTTCCTTTAAAGCCAAATTAGTTTTCAAACGAGTGTATTTCGCGAATAACGTATGATTTGGGCTGTCTCGGGATCTACTCCTAGTCGATGAGAATCCCATGGACTGTCGTGGGGTTTTCAGCTGTAACACCCTTTCGGTGCCTAGCTGCCATGCCACCCCAAGGAGTTATGAGGGCTGGGATACTGCCAGGTTGCTTATGTCTAGAAACGGGAAGTCGAGTTGCAGAAGGCTGGTTCGAACCACGGATCTTCCGGTCAGTAGATTCACGCTCTAACCACTTAAACCATTGCGCCCTCTTCAGCAATCCTATGAGTAGTGTGTTCCTCCGTGCTGTTGAGCCATCCGAATATCGATCAAACTCCCCGGGATACCTACTACACTCTGTTGTACTGCGATTGCCTCTTACAAGGGGAATTGTGTGGTTACTGGTAATCGTATACACGAAATATATCCCGTTTGTCTAAGGTGGACCATTTACGCCATGCAACGGAGTTCCGTAGTTCTAGTGAACTTTGAATGGCTTGTGAATCCTTCGAAGCCATTCGACTTTGAGGGTATGCGTGGTCCCCACAACTTGATAATGGTAGTTTGATCTGTAAGCTTACCCCTCTAACCCAATCATATAGGTTTGGACCTTGCACGCTCAATTGCGTTTCTCACAGCGACTTTGATGTTCCAATCTTCCACTGACTGGCTCATCCCGGTTATCGAAGCAGCCTTGGAATTTGCTCCATGAAGACACTAATCCAGTCTTTGCATTTTTAAATGCCTCCGATCTTCTCCAGCTTAGGTGTAGGGCAAAGACAGTTGAATTTCTGAAATTGGATAAAGTGCATCTATTATAGTGTCGTCAAGTTAGTAACTTGAAATTTAGTTGGAATCACTGGAACCTCCATAAAGTCGCGCCAGACAGACTCTGGAAACCGACAATATTGACAAACCTACTCAAATTTTTGTAACCAGAATAGGATGCGCGGGTGTTGTTTCGATCTGTGATGTGGACTTCAAGATTCCTTACGCTAAACAAAGACGTGGAGATGGCTGCTTCCATTTAGAAGTATCCTGATTCTCACCTTTTTATGCTGAGACGTTCCTCCTTTATTGAAAGCACCTCGGCCTAGCTTCAAGTGATCTTATGATGTACAGCAGTTTACCTGAAGATTCCTGTCGGAACTCCTCGACAGTCAACCGTATCGTTGTTATACCGAATGTTCATTGGTTTTGGCTTGCTGATCGCGTTTATCCAGCCTTTTCTATAAGTAGCCCAGAGGGAGAATAAAATGAGTAAAAATTTCGTCTGAAAAGTTGTCACTCGAGTAGCCAGTCATTGCGCCACCAGGTGATGTAGATCCCATGCATGAAGGATGAGGGGCACTGTGTAAGTGCAAGTCGATCACTGCTGGTCAGCCGGTCGAAGCTGAACTACTAGCAAGGAGGCCGTGAGTTCGCAGTTCCCTTAGATCCCTCTGAGATATGCACTGCTGGTGATTCGCAGTAAACAGCTTCAGTGTTTCTGGACTTTTCAGCCCGGTAATACATCTCTACAAGAACAATCACGGGTCCCCAATCGTTTCCATTGAAAATTTCCGCAGATATCTTTGTTTAGGTTCAGTCATTGTTTTCACAGGTTTTGTAGTTTGTGACCAGTCCTTGTACCAATTTTCTCTCTCTGTGTCTTTACAGGTCTATGGAAGCCAAACTTTTTGGATTGCGTTCACCATTTTATTCCTGCTTATGAGTGTGGTTTTGACAGGCGAGATCTACTACATGGGACAGTGGAATATAGGTAAGGGATTGCCTTTTCACGCCTACGTGCATTATTTCATGGTGGAGTTTCTGTTTTTTTTTTCGTTGAGAACCTACATGTACATTGAGGCCTTTGTCTTCTACACCAGCCTTCGAAAGACTCCGTGCTGTTTTTAAACCCAGAACCCAGATGGTTCGTTCCTTGAACTGAAGATGGAATCGTGAATGTCGCATTCTGTTGTCTTGTCAGCTTGATTTGTAGCGAATAACCTGCTCTTGCCTAAATGCACCTGTGACAGACTACAACACCTCAGGTGGCTAGCACGAAAATGCCCATTTGTTTCACACTTTCCGTCGATACCACTCTCCTAGTCCTCAAGTGAAATCATGGAAGAATAACAATGATATCAGTGGTCTGCAATCATTCTACAGTCCCGTTTCCGTTGTTCAGTTGGGCTGCTCGTATATTTTTCCAGCAGTCACAGACTTTAGTAGTGAAAAATACAACTTGTTTGTTTCCGAGATGACATGGATCTGCAGTGTCTTTTTGGCCCTTCAGTAATGTCTGCTAGCCATTGCGTATTATGTTATTCCTCACGTACCGTCGGTGCAAGGAAATGTCCCTCGGGTGGCGAATGCACCAAATACATTCGCTATTTAACCTCGTCACTTTTCATCATCATCATCATCATCATCAAGGACAGCAACATCAGTGTCGGCACTAATGCTTCACTGCCGTACAGCCGTAAGTTTCGTCTATATATATAGTTTCGTGAGGGGACCTAGTGCTGGCCTATGTCAAGCATACTGAGGTGCCTACACCTCCAACCGCTCAATCAGACAATCTGGAAAGAAACTGACAGCACGAACGCCACTGACATCGATCAGCCGCCATTTCTTGTAACGTCTCCAGCCAAGCACAGACGGGGTCACGAGGACCCCATCCTGGAAGGCGTACAACACCCCAACTCTTTGTGATCTCTTTCACACCTTTCTGCCAAGTCATTTACCGTCCAGCTCGCGGTTCGTGTCATCATGAAGGAGGCACGGAGAACAACATTCGTCTCGATAGACGGTGTTCCGGCATGCGTGGCACATGACTGAGCGATCGTAGTCGATGATGCTGCATGTTTTCCCGGATTGAGGTGCCTGCAGCAGAACCAAATACCCGTTTTCTAATCGCCTCGTTGCTGATACGCTGACGCCATCCAAAACCAGCCACGTTTCTGAGGCATCGGCGGTCGAAAACCTGAAGACGCCTTACTTCATCTACCCGCAGAGGCCATGTCTCGCACCCATTCAACAACACAACCCTTACTGTAGCTTGATACACATGACCCTTAAGATCCAGTGAGATGCCTTTTTGACGCCACAAGTGACGCAAATCAGCACTTTGCTTTCGTCATTTAGGTCTTTTCACTTAGTCTACGTCTTATCCACTCACCTGATGCCTTCACTGAGGACCAATGGATAGCAAAGAGTATCTGTTCGATACAAATTCTCGAAGCAAGTCAGGAAACAGCTGTATAATAAAGACTTATGCTAGTTGGTCTAGTTTTTTGTTATCTACCGGAATACGGAAGTCCCTTGGTCGCGATGTAATTTGGAACCCCTGAGAGTGAACTGTTGAACACTGAGAGAGCAGAACAACCAACTTGGAGTGGTAGCCGCAACGAAGGTGTTGAATTCAGTAGTCTTTGGTGGCGTAGTCACATCCCTGGTTCGAAAGGATCTATTTTCATGATGTTCTTGGAACCGTTATCTCTCGTTGTATCCTGTTCCGGCCATTATTGACACATTTAACCAGCTCGCATCCCTTGATTGTCCCCAACAATGCACTTTTCTGATACCCTGGCATCATGACTGAAGTTAACTCTATTTGCACGTAATCGGCTGCAGTTTACAGATGGTAACGCAGTCGATCAACCGCTTGAGATGTGGACACCGCACGACTCACCTCCTACGATCGTGTGGCGTATTTCTATGATAAATGACGCTTGCATTTCCGTAGGCTCTCACTTTGAACCTGAGCGACACACTCCAGTGGGGATTCGAATGAATAAAATACTGTGTCCTTCAGTAGGGTATGTTACTGTCTACGAGTAGTTGATAGTAGTTGGTTTTTATCCTGCCGGTTTTATTTGTACGTGCCAAATACGAAATGTTTTCAGCTATTGCCTCACTTGCCGACGTCGTGTATTTCAATCATCCCGATGGTTTCTTTTTAGTTCTGATGTTATTTTCTTCCTCCCTGAACATCTTCCAGATTACTGCCTACCGCGTCGTCTCTTCAGTATGATCAAGTCTGATGGCATCCGCTCTCTTCGACCCATGTACCTGGAACGGATGATTCTCCTACTTGTCGCCAACTTGGTGAACTTTGCCCTGTGAGTTACTCGGGTTTTTAGCTTCCTCATAATTATGTATGTTTTGTGAAGGGGCCTGTCTGAACGTAACACACTACTCATGAGGGTGCTGAGAGCTCTTCGACAGCAATCCCATGAGTAGTGTGTTGCGTCCAGGGAACATCATCAGCAGCAGCAGCATGACATCAGTGTTCACTGCCGTACAGCCATGATTTATTTGAAAGCCTTATTGTAAGGAAAAAAGTAAAGGTGGATGGGGAAGGGACTTAGTGCTAGTTTACCACAATCATTCCGAGGTGCATATACCTCCAGACGTTCACTCAGGCGATCTGGATAGAAACTGATAACAAGATCGCCACTGACATCGGTTGGCAGCCATATCTTGTAGTGTCCCCAACCAGGCATAGTGAGGATCACGTGGTCCCCATCCTGGAAGGTGAGTAGCACCGACAGCACCCCAGCGTTTCGCGATCTCCTTCATATTCCTCTGCCAAGTCAAGGATTGGCCACCTCTCTCTGAATTGGACAAGGAAAACAGCACTCTCTTCGGCAAGCGATGGTTCGGCATACGCAACACATGTCCCAACCAACGCAGCTTCTGGTGCTGGACACATTCTTCAACGGAAGTACCCGTTGCACAACCGAAAACGCGCTTCATAACTGCCTCGTTACGGGTTCGCCGACACCAACCCACACGAGCTATGGTTCTGAGACAACGATTATCGAACGATTATCGAAGGCGTCTCAGTTCCGTTGCTCGAATAGGCCATGTCTCACAGCCATACATCAAAACCACCATGACATTTACTAGGCAACAACGTATTGCGGTGTCTCGAGTGCCGTACCAGCTGAAACACGAGGCGGCCTGGTGCTGCGCATTCAGTTGAAGCAAACCATCATAAACGAAATATTCAACTAGATCCAACTGAGTCGCCGGTAAACACCAGATTCAGTGCCAATAAGAGCATTTGTCTTGCTCTATCTCACAGACTGGAAGTTAGTAGATCTTTTACATGGTAAGATATCCCTACGGTTTTTATTGGGAGCCTTGATAAAATTCCCTAGATGACCTATTGGAAATTTCAGTTTCTCAATAGAATTCAGCATATGACCTACGTTGACGTAATGTGTCCTAAGGGGTGCGCAACACTTTGAGTGACACGCCAAGGTCTCAACGTATCTTGAGATATGCGAGACATCAGGTTATACATAGATCTCTATCGGGATCCCTATTTGACCATCGTGATAACTTTGTCTTAGAAACCTTCAACAGGGACATTTAAATTATAAAAAGCACAATCAGTGTTTCTGTGTGATCCTCCAACGGGCACTGCTTGCTGCAAGATCCGATTTGTGAGTGCTAAGGTAACCGTCGTTGATCTTTCACGCCTTAGTTCTCTCGTTTTTACCGTCGGCAGCAACAGTAGCGTTGAACGCCGGCACTTCACTGCCATTCGACCGCATTTGGGAATTTTAGCTATTTTCGATACAGCAACACTGCGCACCCCGGGAAATACAGGCACATCATGTTGGGAACTGATGCTTATAGTGATCACACTCCCTGACCAATCTCTCCCACTATCTCCTATAGGTTTTCTTTTCGATCAATTTTATGACAACTTCAGTCCAACCCCATGAGATGTGAACGCGCGAATTTACCGACCGGAAGGTCCGTGGTTCGAATCCGATCTCCGCCTCTCGACTTCCCCTGTCTAGGCGTGGGCAACCTGGCGGTATCTCAGCCCTCGTGCAACCTTCAGGTGGCTTGGAAGTTAGGTGCTACAGCTGAATGCTTTCTTTTTCTTTCATGAGAGTTGGGTGCTTGAATGCTTTCTTTTTCTTTCATGAGATGTGAAAGACCGCCCTTTAAAATCTCAACAGCCGCAACAAAAAACTCCCGTGCCGTTTTTTACTTCTCAGCTGCCGAACATGCATCTTTTCAACAACCTGACTGACAAATTCATGTTTGAAATAGCCGGGGGCTTATTATCAGAAGTTCCGTATGTATTGCACATGACCGCTTCAGCTTCACACTCTGGAGATCGCAGAATGGAAGTGCAATAACTGTCTCCTTCTCAGGGGTATTTTTCAGCAGTGTTCTCTTCTGGGGTGAGGTCTTTGAAGAGTGGGACAGTTGTAGCTTGCGCAACCAGACCCAGTCATTGCTCTGTGTCTACCTTCCACCCACCATCCTTCAGAGGCTATCATAACTTTTTGAATGCACAGAAATCTCATCGATTTCCATGACTTGGAAGACATGACTTCCTAGGACTCCGCGTTCCACAAAATCTTTTCGATACGCTCCTTCCGCCTTAAGAAACTATCCATCAAACAATGATTCTGGTTTGTTGCTTTGAGAATTCATTCAACAGTTCAGTTCCTCCCACTTTGATGTAATGGTGTCGATGTTGATGACACTGTGTACCCCGCTTTTTATCACGCGTCCCATGTGGACTACCCTTGTTTTGCAGTTGAATATTTTACTACAGTGCCGGTTTTTCCTCCTAATGAAGGTGCACTTTATGAGGCGATTACCTTTTTCCTACAAGCATTTTGGTGTCACCTGGGACACCTGAGTTACCATTTGACAGATGTACCGCCCCAGTCAAACTCCCCGCCTGACATTGTCTTCAGAACGGGTCGCACATCACATCCAGACTCAAACGCCGCAACCGAAGTCACGACTCATCTGGCATGACCAAGATACCGACACCCGCAGCGAAACCACGCATGCCGGCATGTGCTTAGGACCAAAATATTGTTCCCGTTTTACTGAATAAGCAAAGAAACGATGACGGTAGTGGTATTTCACTGGCGACAGGCCGAAGCCCATCTCCCACTTATTCTACACCCGTCATGTCTCCTCACAAAGTCGGACTAGAGTCAAGCTCAACAGGGTCTTCTTTCCACGCCTGGGGTCGCAACACCAATGGCGAAGCACATTGGCAGACATGCCGCTTCCGCATTAAAACTGTCACCGTTCTCACATCGTGAAAACAACGAGTCTCTTAATTTTATTGGACCAATTTGTGATCGACTTTACCCCTTGTATCCTCGCTGAACAAAAGTCTAGCCGTAAGAACCCACGTACCTTTGGCACATGGTTTATAGGTCATTGGTTGTATCCAACTGATCATCATCATCATCATCATCAACGACAGCATGACATCAGTGCTCAACACCAATGCTTCACTGCCGTACAGCCATGACTTATTTGAAAGCCTTATTGTAAAGAAAAGAATAAAGGTGGATGGGGGAGGGACTTAGTGCTAGCTTAACAATCATTCCGAGGTGCCTACACCTCCAGACATTCATTCAGGCAATCTGGACAAAAACTGACAACAAGAACGCCACTGACATCGGTTGGCAGCCATATATTGTAGTGTCTCCAACCAGGCACAGTGAGGATCACGCGGTCCCCATCCTGGAAGGCGAGTAGAACC